AGGTAAGTAATTTCCGCTTTGGGAAACCAACTGTAAAATATTGAAGAATAAAGTTGACAAACAAAACGGAAATTATTTGTGTGTGTGTGGCAATTACTTCGTTATCGAGTATGACCACAGCGTGATATCATTGCAAGACTTTATTCTGACTAATGGTTTCCGCGTGGAATTTTAAGATGAAGAAAGACGTAGCATTAGGTGAAATCTAAGCAAGAACCCCCCCCCCTAAAAAAGGACCATCCTCACTGGATGCTGTCAAGCTGAAGTTGTTACATCACAGTTTTCCCTCTCCAAGTTGAATGCCTTAGCGAACGATAAGGGGTCCAACATTTACAAAACGTTCTGTTTCCTTCGTACATGTCTGATTAGACATTCTTGTGTTCTTAAACTGTTAAATTAATAACTACCAGCCTAGAGATCGAAAGCCTTATTAAAAAAATGCCTCCACCCCGAGAGGAAACACCTCCGAGGAAGCATTTTACTTCAATAAGGTTTGTAATGATAAGACTGGTAGGTATTAATTTCTCTGTTTAAAAAACAGGAATATCTATCAAACACTAAATATAACACTTATACTATGCTATAAATGAATTACTTAACACACACACACACATATATATATATATATATATATATATATATATATATATATATATATGAGAGAGAGAGAGAGAGAGAGAGAGAGAGAGAGAGAGAGAGAGAGAGAGAGATAAGATCAAACAGCATTCGTTGAATAATCAGAACATATGTCTACTTAGTTTTATGATGATTCTTTCTAATACTCTAATCAGTTTCTTGATGTTGAGACAAAATCGATTAAGGAAGGCGCCATAGTTTTTTTTCCTTTCCCAAGTACTTTCGATCACATCCGAGATTATCTTCAGGGGTGAATTGCTAAAACAAAAGTTAATGCAACTGTGATCGTTGTGATTTTTGTAAACACGCGTGAACGGGCTCTGTTATAAAAAGTTTTTAAATTAACCGTTGTAGCCATGATTTTTTTTTTTTGTAAACAAGCGTTCACAAAGTAAGAGAGCTAAACAGAGATGCTCAAAATGCAGATGCATTAAATGTTGTCAAATACATTTTAAAGCATTGATTCTATACTTACAAATAATTTTTTTTCAGCGTTGGTTCGTTGCTTTTGATATAGACGGCCTCGGGAATATGAAGTTGTTGCTTATTATTTTCATGCTGTAGTATATTGATGTTGTCAACAAGTATTTTCCTATATTATGAAAAAGAATGTGCCTGTAAATAGAACTTGTATCCGACAAATGGAATATAGGACACCTTAATGATGTAATCGTCAAGCCAACAAATGTCCTTACTTTTTTGTCAGAGATACAATCTCCAAAAAGGACATTTAAATTGATATAGAATTCTTGTCTTTTCCAAAACACTAGTTGATAAGAAGAGTTAAAAGCGTATGATTAAGTTGGTTGTGTTACATTTACTATAATATATAATTAGTTTTACTTTTTTACTGGGATCACTTAGGAATATATTAGAATTGGTGAGAATTTTTAGCATTATTTAATCTTGTTTATAGTCAGAACACATTTGATTGCGTTATAGTAGGTTGATATGTTTAGGGTTATTTGAGGAAATATTATGTTCTTTTTGATTAATGTTATCTTTCTAATAGTTCGTCTAATTTTTCATCAACTATGTAATTAGGAAGGTCATTATTAATGAGATTTTCTTTAAAAAAATTTTTTAATTCAGTGTATCATATTTTTTTTTCGTGGAAGAGTTAATTTTTGCCCGGTTTATTAAATGTAGCTGTTTTGTAATAGGATATTCGCTTTTATAGTTTAAAGTGCATCTGTTTATGCTAGTTGGTTTTTTATAGGGGGGGTAGTAAATGTATTATTATTACTGTCTATCACTACATCAAAAAAAGGAATTTTATTGTTTTTGTTAAGTTCATATGTGAACTTAAGAATAGAGTTGTTGTTTTTTTAAGTTTTCTTGTAGTTCATGTATTTCATATATGTTTATTAATATAAGAATATCATCTACATATCTTAGGTAGACGGATGGTTTTTACTGGTATTAAATATCTTCTTTTCTGGGTAATCTATGTAGAAATTTACTAAATGTTGGTGCCAGAACTGAACCCATGGAAAGGCCATGACGTTGTACGTAGATGATATTTTGGTAGTCACAGAAGGGAATCTCAATGGCACAAGTCAAAAGCAGTTTTCGTATTATATTAGGTTTAATTTTTAGTGGAAGGAGAGATGGATTGTTATAAATATTCTTTATATATCATCCATTTCCCTAACTGCAACATTGGTAAATAAACTTTCAACAGCAAGTGAGGCTATGGTTTCATTATTAGTTTTTTTTGTGTGTTTTTGTGTTCATGAGTTGAGTTAATACTTTATTTACTAGGTATGTATGGTGCAATGAGTTGGTTGATGATTTTGGTAAACCGGGGTGGGGATTTGTGGTGTGATGGGACGGAGAGGGAAGTTAAGTTTGTGTATTTTTTATGATTCCATACACGTATCCTGGTTTGTAGTCACCAAATATTTGGAGGAGTTTTAATATGTCCTGTTCTTCGTTGTTGGTTGTGATCAGTTTATTATTTTTAATATCAGTTAGTAGTAATGTCGGTTAGTAGGATTTTTTTTTATGTTTTTAAAATATGGTATAATTGTCGAGTATTTCTTGTAATTTCGAATTATCCAATGAGAGCTCAATGTAACTTACGGAGCAATAAAACACATTAAAAATGCATATCGTTTATAATTTATTTCGTGAATATTGTTATATTCATCTCTTCAGACCAAAAGATTTAAAGTTTTTTTCTCAAAATCTTTCGGTCTGAAGAGATGAATATAACAATATTCACGAAATAAATTATAAACGATATGCATTTTTAAGATGTTTTCTTAATTTATCATTATTCGAATGTAATGAGAACGCAAATAATATAAATTCTATCGTTCACAGCATACCATTGTCTTAATCTGTCACCCTCTTTCCTTTCCTTATCTTTTCTCCTTTTTCTTTACCTTTCTCCGTCTCCTCTTAAGGTGTCTCTCCCTAAGTTTTTTTTTCATAAGCGGCTTGCTTGTTAATAGAATTATTCATAACTATTTTTGCTTCTCACCAGTCGAGATGTAGCCGCATCGAAACAAGAATGCATCTTTGTAGTGAGTGAGATGTTTTTGTCCATATGTAACATCTTTATAATATATATATATATATATATATATATATATATATATATATATATATTTTCTAAAGAGTTCATGGAATTTTCTCTCTAATGCAAAAATTCAGATATATTTATTACTTCGAATAATAGAAAATTCTGTTTATTAAATGTGTTCATTTCGTCTCTCGGCTTTTTCTCTTTAAAAAAACGGGACGTTCAACATAACACTGCTATCCGCTAAAAAAACGTTTGAAGTAATAAATATGTAGGATTAGAAATTAAAAGAGAACATTTTCTTTATTGTTTATTTCTCGGCTACGAAGGCCGGCAGACGAAATAAACACATTTTTAAAAAGACTTTATGAAAAGCAATAATTGGGAACAAAAATTATGCAAATGATTACTGAGGCAAGAGGGTCAATAATTTTGTTCTATGTTTATGTTTGTTTAATGTTCTTAAGTGTTATTGTTTGATATTAAAAATGAAAATTTGTTGTTGGCACAACTACATACTGCAATATTTCATAATTTGGGAAATAATGCAAGTACACACACATATACATACACACATGCATATATATATATATATATATATATATATATATATATATATATATATATATGTATATATATACGTCACACATTATGAAATGGACAAAGTCCGACAATTATTTTAAGACATTTTATGTGTATACATTCTTTTTATAGATACAAATATTTAAGTAAATGCTCTGTTTATAATAAACAGTATTAAACGGATGACGAATATTTTCTGTGAAGATTTCTCGGACATTCAGGCCGGTAAATGTTATTTAATACTGTTCATTATAAACAGAGCATTTACTTAAATATTTGTATCTATAAAAAAGAACGTTAAACATAAAAATTTATTTATTAAAGACATTTTATGTTTAACGTTCTTTTTTATAGATACAAGTATTTAAGTAAATGCTCTGTTTATAATAAATAGGCCGGTAAATGTTATTTAATACTGTTTATTATAAACAGAGCATTTACTTAAATACTTGTATCTATAAAAAAGAACGTTAAACATAAAAATGTCTTTAATAAATAAATTGTCGGACTTTGTCCATTTCTTAATATATGACGTCACTTGTTTACGCCAGAGCAGTTATGAATGTACGAGATTCATGGAAGACTGAAGTTTATAAGCAGTAAATTCGACCTTGCCTACCGAACGCTCCTTTGTGGCCGAGTCGGTTAAGGCGCATCAGCGTAAATGACAGTTCCGTATAGGATGCAGGATGTGTCAAAGGACGAATATTTTCTATGAAAATTTCTCGGACATTCAGGCCGGTAAATGTTATTTAATACTGTTTATTATAAACAGAGCATTTACTTAAATACTTGTATCTATAAAAAAAAAAGAACGTTAAACATAAAAATGTCTTTAATAAATAAATTGTCGGATTTTGTCCATTTCTTAATATATATATATAAATTATATATATATATATATATATATATATATATATATATATATATATATATATATATATATATATGTATGTATGTATAATAGCTGGACACTCGTATCCGAGGATATCCGTCTAGCCAATGTCTATTGAAGACGCTCGCTCAGGCACATTTGTATTTGTTTAACACCCACAGAGCCCACCTCTTAGACTTTAGTTACGGGGAGAAGATCACCAATTTGAACAATTAGTTACAAAGAGAGCGTGTTATCTATCGTTACCAATTTGAACAAGGCTACCACGATGATTTGTGGCTATCGACGAACCTTTACAAATTTAAAATCACTTCAGTTCGTATGGCTTTCTTTAATTCTTTTCTTTTTTCATTTGACATTTTTGTCTTCTTCCTCTTTTTTCCAACATAGCAATATTTCATTTTCTCCTTCAATAGAATAGGAAAGAGGAAGGAAACGAAGGAAAAAGGTAAAGGGGGAAAGAAAGTTGGAAGAGAAAGATGAAGGTAAGATAAGATGGAAGAAAAGAAGAAGGAAAGAGAGTAGGAAAGAAAAAAATGAAAGGAAAAAGAAGGAAAGAAATGAAGAGGAAATAAGGGAAAAAGAGAAAGAAAAAGATGTAGGGTATTAAATAGAAAGAAAAAGAGGAAGGAAAGAAAGGAAGAATAAAAAGGAAGTAAAAAAAGAGGGTGAAAGAAAGAGGGAAGGAAAAAGGAAGGGAAATAAAGGTCAATGGAAAAGAGGAAGTAAAAAAAAAGGTGAAAGGAAAATTGAGAGGAAAGAAAGGAGCAATGAAAGGGAAAGAAAAGGGAAAGGAAGTAAAGAAAAAGGAAAGACATTTTTTCCTACCACCGACGTTTGTATTCCTCTGACTTTCCTAACTCATTTCCCCAGTTTACTATTTCACTAAATTTCTTTTTTATCAAAGCCTTGTATATTTTTCTTATCTTTTCTCAAATTCAATCTATTTCTAAATTACTCGCAGTGATGCATAGCTCTTCATTCCTAACCGTTCCATCTCCTGACTTCCATCTCCATATTTCATTCGCCCTTCTTATCTTCTTTCCGTTCTCGTTCTTTACAATCTTCTTGTTTGCTTCTTTCTAAATTTCCCGTTCATCTCTCATCACTTTTCAACTTCCTTTTCGAGTCTTTTCTTCTTCTACTTTGAATAATGTCTGGCCTTTCTAAGAAATGTTTTTTCGTTTTTCATTTCTTTTTTTTATCTTTTTCATTTAGTTTCGTTCTTTATGTTTGTATACATTTAACTTCAATCTTCTTTTCTCTTCTCGTTTTCTTTCTCTTTTCGCTTCGTCTGTTATTTTTTTCCTTATTATTTCTTTTACACATTTTTTCTTTCTTCCTTTATTTCTTACCTTTCTATTTTCCTTTCTTTTCCTCCTTTCTTTTTTCTTCTGCTTTTTCTTCCAACTTTCTTTTCCCTCTTTTGCTTTCTATTATTTTTTAATTTCCTTTTCTTTTCACTTTCTTTCCTTCGTATTTTTCTTTCTCATTTTTCGCTCCTTTTTTTTCCTTTCCTTCCTTTTCATTTCCTTTCTTTCCAATTTCACTTCCTCTTTTCCTTTCATCATTCTTATTTACTACTTTTATCTTTTCTTTCCTTCCTCTTTTCTTTCTATTTTCTTTCACAGCTTTTTCCTTTAGCTTTTTCCATTCTTTTCTTCCTACTTTCTTTCCCTCCTACTTTCTTTTCCTCCTTTTTCCTTCTTCCTCTCTTTCCTGTCTCCATTCCCCCCCTTTTCTTTCCGTTTGTTTTCTTTCTTTCATATCTTCTCTTTTTCTTTATATTTTCTACTTTACTTATTCTTTCTTTCTTTCTTTCTTTCTTTCTTTCTTTCTTTCTTTCTTCCTTTCTTTCTTTCCTTCCTCCTTTCCTTTTCATTTTATTTCCCTTGTTTTTTCTTTCATTTCTTCTTCCTCCATTCTTTCCCGCTTTTCCTTCAACTTTTCTTTCCATTGCTTTCGTTCCTTTCTCTTTCCCTTCTTTTATTCTTCGTTTCGTTTTTTCTTTCCATTTTTCTTTCTTTCCCCTTTATTTTTCTTTTATCCTTCACGTTTTCCTTTCTATTTTTCCCATCTTTTTCTCCTTTTTCCTTCTTTTTCCCTTCTCATTCCTTCTTTCCCCTTTGTTTTTTCTTTTCTTTCTTTCCTCTTTCCCTTGCTATTTTCTTACCCATGTTTTTTTGCCTCTTTCTTTCTTTCCCTCCTTTTTCCTTCAATCTTTCCTTTCGCCCTGTATATTTTTCTTTTCTTTCCTCTATTTTCTACTTTACATATTCCTTTTTTCTTCTTCTTTATTGCCATGTTCTTTTTGA